TAATAAATAATAATATATAAAAAATACAATAATCATTAATTTTGGTTTGAAAAGAATGTTGATGAAAGAAATTAAAAATGCATCCGGTGGGGTTCGAACCCACGCGTCGGTTATGACAGCCGAGCTTAAATCGGCCCCCTTAGACCACTCGGGCACGAATGCTTTATAAAATAATTATCTTGTTGTTAGGTTGGTTTCGTTTTATTTGTTATTAACACTAGATATGCATAGGATAATAAACACGAAATAAACAAAAACTAATAATCTAGATACTAATTTAAAAAATTATATTTGTTATACAAATTATTTAATATTATACTTTTTGTTTTATAGCAGTGCTGTCTAAACATTAAAATTTTCTACAATTTAATTTATTACAAAATAAATTAATTTAAATATACAAGAATCAAAAATTGAAATTTCAAAATAAAAAACATTTTTACTAGAATAACATTATTATAAGAAAGAACTAAAAAAACAATAAATATATATAAAAGAGTACTCTCCAACGGGGATTCGAACCCCGGTCTTTCACGTGACAGGCGAAGATACTAACCAGCTATACTATTGGAGATTACATAAATTGTTGATCTTTTGTTATGTCTAGGGGAGTTATTATACTAATTTAAAGTAACTTAATAAGTTTTAAATAATAATAAAAGAAAGTTATTATAATAATAGTAGAAATATATTAACAAAATGCTCACAGCAGGTCTCGAACCTGCGACCCTGGCGTTATTAGCACCATGCTCTACCGACTGAGCTATGCGAGCTTTATATCTTTAATATACAAAGATGAATTCCAAGGTAACGTCTATACACGGAACTTGAAAATAAAATAAATAATAAGATTAAAAAATTCTAATTGTTAACATAAAATATTGAATATTGTTATTTAAAGATCTTAAAAAAATCAAAATTAAAAATATTTTAGTATCATTTGAAGAAAGGAAAAAGTTCCATCGCCGGGAATTGAACCCGGGGCGCAAACGTGAGAGGCTTGCATGTTACCAACTACACCACAATGGATAACTGTTCTATAATTTTTACCATACTGATATACAAAACCTATTTCATCAATGATATTCTATATATTATATTTTCATTAGTTATATTTTAAATTTCCCACCATATAAAAAAATTGTTATATTTAATGGCAGCTGTAGTTTAGATGGTAAAACGCTCAATTTAATTTAAATGAAAATCAAATCAAAATCGAGATTCGTGGGTTCAACTCCCATCAGTTGCGTTTTATTTATATTATTTTAATAAAAATAAGAATATACAATATATATTTAAAAAATATTTACACATTATATACACTAAAATCAAAATAACATAAAAATGATAAAATGATTAATTACTATTATCTAGTCATGAGATCATATATTATTTAATATTTACTAAATTTTTACAAAGATTTAAATATACTATAATATAGATGCAACAAAATAAATGTGTTAATTAAATTTAATTAATAAATTAAAATATATTTCTATTTAATAATATATTTTTGTATTAATACATTTATATCTGAATATACATGACATCACAACACAATGCAACTAACAATATCATGTTTATTACATTTTATATTTATTACGAATTTTTTTATTATAAATCAAAATTTATTAAATGATCAAGTATTAAGAAATATATTTTATTGAATGATGATGAATATTAATTATAATTTATTGAATGATGATGAATATTAATATAATTTATTGAATGATGATGAATATTAATATAATTTGTTAAATGATGATAAATAATTAATATTATTATTTAAATGTTGATGAATATTTTTTTTATTTTATTCTTTAATGAGAATAATTTACTTATATTTTAATTATAAATAATGTTATTACAATATCATTACTATATTTATTATTTTTTTTATTTTATTTTATCTTCATATTAAATGATGATAAATAAATACTTTTACCTATTGTTTCATGATGATTTTATACTTCTCTATTTTAATGTTATTTGATTTAATAATAACTTTTTTCATTTACTTTTAACTTTATGTTAAACAATTAAAATCAGATGATATTTATTTACAAATATTTTTTTCTTTAATTTCATTTATTTTTTTACAAAATATTATTTTTTTTTATTTTATATTCAAAAAATAAATCATTCAATATTTTTTTTCATTATATTTTATATTTTTTATATCTGACATAAAATCCTTGTTAATTTAAATATTTTATTTGTTGACTTATATTATTATTCCTCTTTTACATCTTTTTATTCTATTTTAATATATCAATTATGTTTTATTGTTTTGATATTTACTTATTTTTTGCTTATTTTGAATTAAAAATTAATTTTATTATTTAATAAAAATTTTAATTATTTTTTGACTACTAAAAGTTAATAAATAGTCTATATATTTATTATACGAAGTCAATTAGATAATTAGTGTTATCTTTTTAAAACAGATTTGTGAACCTAAATTACATAAAAAATATTGATAAAAATTTCTATATACTTTTCTCGATTCAAAAAAAAATCAAAGCTGTATTTAAATCAAAATATTCAACTTTAATTAAAAAGATATTCAAAAATACATTTTTTGCATTATAAACCATTTTTAAACTATTCAATTACAAATCAATTGTTTATTTATTTCAAAATATATCAATTTTATTAACGAAAAAATGAAAATGAACTATATTAAAATATAAAAAATAATTCTTTATTATCAAACAATAGCAATAATACTGTTAATTTATTAAATGTTTCGTCTCAAAATTAATCGTATTTAAAATAATTTATTTATAATTGACACTATTCTACAACATTATTTAATGACTATAATTTTTATTAACAGTTTAATTTACATGGAATTAAAATGATATAAATTACATTTAATATCAATCTCGTCAATTTACAAATTAATAATTATAATATGAACATAATGATAATTAATTTGATTCAAACCAAAGCCACATTACGAACATTTTAATTACGTTTTATGGATTTCTCTATCTTTTGAATTGATTTTTTATTTTTTATTATGTGCTTATATTAAATGTAATAAATATCTTTTAATAAATTAAAATTAAACTATATATATTTACAAAAAGACAAAAATTATAACAAAGAAATTAATTATGTTTTATATATACAATATTGTTACGTATATATTACACTCTATCAACATCAGTTTCATTGATAATATTCAGTACTTTTTCTTTTGTTAATATAATCATTTCTATTGATATATTTTGTTTTCGTTTTTCAATAAATCTATCAGAGCAGTACTTTTCAATTGACTCACCAAGTTTTATAATCATTTCTTTATTTACAATCTGCTTATCAGGCATTTGAATGAAAACATTACCTCTGATTCCTTCTCTATTTTCGTTTTCGTAATATACAATAAATCCGTCTTCAAACAATATATCTTCTAATAAATGTAGAATCTCTCTTTTCTTTTCATTTTGTATTTTCCTTTCCATAATTCTATAATCAATACCATTCTTTAGCATTTCGGCATTTTTTTCTTTCTTTCTTCTCTTTATAAAATCTTTAAAATTCAAAGTGAATAAAGGATTTTCTGTTAAAAATGTGATTGAGCTAATATTAAGAAAATCTTGCGATAACCGACTTACTCGTTTTGGCGGTGACAACTTGATATCTGCCTTCGTTGATATAAAAGCTATAAGTGCACATTGGAGATGAGTCAGTAATGTCCGTTCTTTTATACAACGCAACTTCTCTTTTTGTCGAGATTCCGAAGTCATGTTAATAATAGAACTCTAGTTTTATTATGATATAAATAAAATAAAAGAAAAACAACAATTATATATATATTTTATGATAATCAATTTTTAATCTGTGTTGTCTATAAATCAATTATTTTTTGGCCAATAACGTTCATTTGTCGTGTCATTGTAACTTAATTAAAATCAAAACCATTTGATAAAAATATATGTACAGATAGAGTTATTTATGGGCAACAAAAATTTATTAAATGACAGATTTATTTTAAGTTAAATTTAATAAGTAATTTATAGAAATTGTTTTTAAAAAATAAATAAATAATAAAAAATAAAAACTTATTTTTAACATCAATTAATCCTTGATATTTTTTGTCATACAATTTTCCTTCATCTGTATGGTAAGTTTGTTTTAAATTGTTACTCAATGTTTTATAACCATTAAATTAAAATTAATAAAACAATTGTGCTATTATTATTTTTTATTATCAGTTTAACATGATAGCAAATTTATTTTTACAAATAAAAAGTTTTTATTGAAGTTTTTTTAAATATAACTATAACACAAAAAAATAAAATATTTTTTCAAAGAGTCGAATTATAATCACTTGGTTAAAACATAAACATACAACACCAATATCGTATTGCAAAACGATATATTTTACAATACGAAAATATTATAAATATTTACTTTGAATGTAACAGACACTGTTTAAAAGTGTTATTATAGTCATTTTTAATATAGAAGTTATTATCATTAATTATTTATAACAACAATTAATATAAAATGATGAAATAGTTAAACGAGACTCAAAAACAAAAGAGGTTTAAAACATATTTATGTGCAGTTTTTTTTATTAATTATTGTTGTTAAAAATATAAGTATTACTGAATGTTAATTTAATAATTTTTTATTATAATACTATTATATTTAATCAGTTTGACAATGTAAGAGTAATATTATAAAATTGTATTTTTAAATACAATTTTTAAAACAATAAAAACTTACAATTGTTAATGTTTACATTTTTTAATATAATTACAACTGCGATATGATGCTAATAATAAATTGAAACGAAAAGTCGGCAAATCAAAATATGTCAGACAATTAAATAGACAATTTGTTTGAAAAAATAAATAAAAAAATCAACTTTGGCTATAAAAACGTTTTTATAAACTTGGTTATCATTCAATGAGAACTTTATTCTTCTTATCATTTACAGTATTTACTGCATTTTCCACATCTCCGAATGAATGTGAACCTGATGTAGTCAATTGCTTATCATGCAAAGCAGATGATACAACTCAATGTGAAACGTGTGCAACTGGATATTATTTAAACAATAATTTATGCACCGCATGTACGGCTGGTTGTTCAGTTTGCACCGATGGATCTACTTGTTCTGAATGTACAACTGAATATTATTTGGAAAATAATAAATGCATAGCAAAAGCGGCGTGTGGTGCTTCTGCAACGGGATGTTCGAAGTGCAAAGCTGATACTACAACATGTCTTTCATGCACGGCTGGTTATTATTTGGCAAGTGGTTCTTGCACAGAATGTGCAGCTGGCTGCTCAGCTTGCGATGATGCCAACACTTGTACCGATTGTAGTGATGGATATTATTTAAGTGGTACTACTTGCACAAAATGTAAAACTGGCTGTTCGGCTTGCGATGATGCCACCACTTGTACTGCATGTAGTGATGGATATTATAAAAAAGATAAAACATGTACTGCCTGTTTCGCAGATTATAAATGTGCTACATGTGCCGAAGACACAACTGATATCAATGGTAAATGTACCAAATGTGATACAACAACCAAGTACAAATACATGAATGGTAATAAATGTGATGATTGTGAAACTGGAAAAATCACATTAAAAAATACATGTGATACCACTGCAAACGCATGTGGAAGTGGATGTACTGCATGTGTAGAAGTTGCTGGAAGTACAACAGCAAAATGCACCAAATGCACGAAAGAAACCGATTACATCAATCTTGATGAAACATGTGCAACAACTTGCAAAACTGGTAAAGCAAACAAAGATACAATGACTTGTGAAGAATGCACTATTGAAGATTGCGAAACTTGTGAAGCAGTTGAATCTGCTGAACAATGCACTAAATGTGAAACCAAATACATATCTGCCGACAAACTTTCATGTGTTGATTCATGCACCACTGGTAAACCAGTTGAAACTCCAATCAAAACGTGTGAAGCGTGTGCTACTGAGAATTGCAATGTTTGTGATAAAGACGACAAGTGCACTAAATGCAAGACCGATTTCAATCTGGTGACTGACACTTTGAAGTGTGTTGAGAAATGTCCAGAAGGATACATGAAAGATAAAACCACAAATAAATGCATGAAATGTACCGTTGAAGGTTGTGCAACTTGTGAAAAGGTGGATGAATGCACTGCATGTATGGCTGAATACACATTGGAGGGAGGAAAATGCAATGGAGCACATGCTGTTTTCGCAATTTTGGCTATAGTCGTTACGGCTTTCTTATTCTAAAATTCTAAACAAAGAATTTTAATTATTTTTGTTTTAAAAAAATAATATAATATAAATATTATATGATATGTTATATATTCATTCAACAATTTAATTTATAATATAATTTGTTAGATGTTTTATATAATCTATACAAACACAACACAATTGAAGTAAATAAAATATTAAACCATTGTGTTAAATAAATAAAAATAATTGTATTTTTAGGTATAAATATAATTAATTTAAATATACAACTAACAAATTGTTTTAATATGTTTATATTTAATATTTAGTATTAGAACATTAATAATGTGATTTAATCAATATTACTTTTGTCAATAATTATTATGATAATGTTGTCAATATATCATAAAAATTGATTGATACTGTCCATAACAATTAGTAAATTAGTTAATAAAAGTTATGTCTATGTGATTGAATGGTATTTTTAAATAGTTCACTGTTATAAAAATACGTTTTTATCAATATTTTAAAGTTTTTATGTTAATGTCATTTAAAGTACTTTATTTTTGGTTATTCTCAATTATTGGGAAATATAGTACTAGACCCAATCATTATGATATAACCTAGACTAATCACTCTCTGTTTGTTTTTTAGTGCTCTCGTGTGATCACGTTTTGTGCTTGAAAGTTTAGCTTTTTTAAACTAAATTCTATAAATATAATATAATATAATATAATTTATCTATATCATACTAAATTATGCAATAAAATTAAATTGAACACGAATATACATTTAATTCGTATGTCAAATAGTTTTGCATCTTTAGTTTTGTTATTATTAGAAATAACCATATCGTTATGTTCTGAACACGGTTGACCATTTCACTGTTAGATTTTTTGTTGATTCCCAAAACTGCATTCCAAATTTACAATTTAAGCAATTATTGATAACAATATGTTTTTTTTTATTTTTAGAATGATATAAATTGTGTTTAAAAGAAATTAATTTGTGGTAAGAAAACCGCATATTATGCTGTATTTCAATATTGTAATTTGGCATATATAAACAATGGTAAATAATTTATGAACTAAATGTACCAAACATATAAAAATAAAAATAATATTACCAAAATTATAGACATAAAATAGTAATCCCGTCACCGAGTGCCGGGTACTAATTTTTAAATAATAATTTAAATTGAGTATAGAAAACAATGTTGTTTTTTGTTTTTTATTTCTTGTTTATTATTATTTTGTATTATTTATATATCATTTATGTGTTTTTAGTAATGATTATTGAAATGGTGAAGATAATGATGTATTAATTTATTTTTGGTTAACTCTTCATTCAATACACCGTCAAAGTTTACAGTTTCAAATCATTTATCATTTTTTCTATTATTTGGTTGTTGTTTAAAAAAATACTTGTTGTGTTTTACAAATATATTTCAAAGTTTGTTTCAAACAACCACTTCCACTTAAAGCTTATATCTTTGTTCTGAGTCGTTTGATGACTATTGCATTATAAAGTTTCTTGGATTTTTAAATGATCTAAGCAATAAACTTTATTGTGTTGCCTATAGTTTAAACACCAAAAAGGTGTTGTTGTATGTTATTTTAAATCGACTGTAAATAAATAATATATTCGCTTCAAAACATCAAAAAATCAAACATAACTTTATTATAATTAAAACGTGTCATTTTGTTTATATTTCATGTTAACCCTTAGAAAACGGCGTTTTCAATTATTCACATAACAAATTTATCAACACGATTAAACGTTTTAATAAATTAATAACAGATATACAATATTGTATATACAAATGTAATTGATAAATATAATTTACAGTTGAATAATGATTTTTAATGGCATTGTTATTCTAAAGTATTGATTGTAACTTTTGTGTGATTATTTGACATTTTGTTGAAACAACAAAAAATCAAATATAAACAATTGTTATTTATTTCATTGTGTAACTACTTATATGTCCTCAATTTTCATTCAACAGATTTTGTTTATAATTACATATAAGTAAGACATAATATACAATTATTTTTTCTTAACTATCGTTTTATCATATCAAGAAATCTATTTTTGTTTATAAATTTACTTCCACTATGATAAATTGTAATATTATTAACCTGAAAATAATTCAACATAGTATTAGAAGTTAATCCAGATTCATCATAAAATCTTAAGTTGTTAATTTTACAATTACTATCTCGAAGTGTGTTAAAAATTATTAATAACGAGTCAATATTTTTATTGTATATTGAGAAGACATATAAATATTTTGTGTTGATATTTATGATGAATGTTATAAAAACCCCAAATAAGTTTGGAGGTGAGAGATGACCTACATATACTACTTCCATTGAAGGTAATCCAGATCAACTTTTAAATGATTTTCTTCATACACTATATGGTGATTGCAATTCTTCGAATATACCAATTGAAAATACACAGTACGATGAACAAATAAAACAATTGAAGTCCAATGAAAATAATGATGTGATAAATGATGTTCAAAATAATGTAAATAACGATATAAATGTTATAGAAGATGAAGAAGCTCCTGTATTGTACAATCTGTATGAAGATTGTGAGGAAACGGATTTTGGTCCAGACGATTTTGCTAATGAAGAATTAAACAAAGAACTTACAAAAGCAAAAATAGAACAAAACTCCAAAATAACTCAACATGATACACATATTTTTGAAACTATAAATACATTATTACAAAAAACAAAGAAACACAATAAGTCGCAGTTTCCTTTATACATGTCAAATGGTATAAATAAAAAAGTTCAACTTTTGTTGGGGAAGAAGTTGGCTTCTTTTTCAAAAACCGTTACAGCTGCAAAACTTCGTAAAAAGTTTATTGTAAATCTTTTGGTCATTTTTCTGCAATGAATCTGAGTTGTAATCAATGCGCGATAATGTTGAGTCTGATAAAGACTGTATTAATGTGTTGTAATGTTTTAGAAAATATACTGAATATTTATATTTCTAGTAAGACCATTCAAAGGAAAATGGCGTCTGTCGGTTAAGCAACAAGAAATGAACTGAAAAAAATTGCGGCAAATTGTTATGGCTATTATTTGATTGGTAATACAATGAAATATAATGGTGAAGGCACCATGTCTTTGTATGGAAGGTTCCTTACAAAACAATTTGAAATAAAAGTTGTTAAAATAAAAGTGGGTGCATTTTGGGGAGCCGGAAATGCCGAAAATTTGGCCAATTGGATTATGTTAGTACTCAAAGACATGGAGATACCATTAGACTTACTAAGGGGGTATTGTTGTGATGGTTTGATGTTGGACTCAGCTTTGGTAATGGAATAACTGGTATACTTGCACGCAAGTTAACACCAAATTTAAGACCATTATATAATCACAATTATTGTATATTTCATAAATTTAATGTTGCGACAGAAAGGACCTTTGACTTTGGAGATATGGTAATGATCAAACAATTTTTAGTTAAAATGACAACAGAACCAATCAGAAGAAGATGGAAAACCGAACTTCAAAAGGAGAATCTTTGGAAAGCTTTGTTAAAAATTCCGCAATATTCCACCACGCGTTTCCAGTTTGTTGCTCTTATCACAAATATGTTGTTCGAGTGTTTTTCTCCGTTACAAAACTTTTTTGATGGC